TATGCATGGTCCCTTGTTTGCTTTCTTTATGAGAAAGGATTTTCCCAAGTAGCAGTAGCTTAAAAAGCTTTGAGAAGCCTCATGCTCCTGGCTGAATTTGCACTGGGTTTCTGGGCCTTTACACTACATCTTTCACACAGTATGATGTGCTTTTTGATTGCCCCTTCACTGCTAACATGCAACTTGTTCCTTCCAGACACTGAAAAATGCCTGGTTACAACGCTATGCTGTCAACAGCGCCGACCCTGGAGTCTTTGTTCTGCTGGCCTGTGGCACCATCTCCAGTACCTGCGGGCAGCTCGCGAGTTACCCCCTGGCTCTCGTGAGGACACGCATGCAGGCCCAAGGTGAGGGCTTCTGGGAACTGGGGGAGCTCGTGCCACGGTCTCTGAGCTGGGTAAAGGTCCTTCAGTGTAAACGTTGCAACCACAGCCTTCCCTGGCCTGTGCAGCTGAGCAGAAGGCTGTTTGCCATGCTGCATGGGGACAGTGGACTTTGTGCCGCCCTTAGTGGCGGGGGCCGAGCACCTGCAGGGCAGAGCTCTTGTTTTGATGAGCAGTTTGGGGTTAAGGGCGTCTGCAGATCAGCTTGAGAGGATGCCTGTGATGCGCAGCGTGGCAGTGGCTCATGGAGAAGTTAGGTGCTGTTCCCCATGAAGCGCTTTTGCTCTGTGAACATCCACAGGAAACACTTAAATCAAAACACCTGGGCTGCATTATTGATCTGTGCCTTTCTCTATTACAGCTTCGGTGGAGGGTGCTCCTGAAGTGACAATGAGGGGACTCTTCAGACACATTCTGAAGACAGAGGGAGCCTTTGGTCTTTACCGGGGTCTGGCACCGAACTTTATGAAGGTGATCCCAGCTGTAAGCATCAGCTACGTGGTTTATGAGAACTTGAAGATGTCTCTGGGCGTGCAGTCACGGTGACCAGGAGATGCTGAGGACTTTGAACTCTGAAGTCTTGGGGTGCAACCTCAAGACGTATAGCCACCTCTCATTCTGTGAATGTGTTGACACTAAGCTGACTTAAGCAAAGCTGTGAAATCTCAGATAGTTTGTAAGTCAGTAAGGGCAGGGGGAGGATCTGGTGGCCTTTGCCATCTTGCTACTCTGTTCTACATCAAGTGGTCCTTTGTGTTGGGCCTTTTGGGAGACCAGGGGCTTAACTTCTGGTTGAATCTTAAGGCACGAGTTGCTGAGGTCAGTTCCCAGCAGCATGGCAGAGTAGCAAAGGTTTGGGTAAAGGGTCTGCTTTCAGTGTATAGCGTGTGCAGAGCTGTTTGCCTGCAGATGAGCACCTTCTGACTTGCTGAAAGAGCTTCTTTTTCCATTCAGAGAGCTTCTTTTTCTTGTCCCATTCAATTGTTCAACTTCCTACCCGTGTTCAAATTTGTACAAACCTCGTGTAGGAGCTGCTGCCACACCAGGCTTGTTGTTATGTTTACATATATTCCTTTGGGTAGGAGACATTAATGTTCTGCTTCCAAGACTTGACATGAAATGGAACTTTGAACTGTACTGGTTTTGAGGGCTGGTGGGCAGTGGTTTATCTGATCAGGCTGAAGGCTGTTTAGACCAGCCTGATGAAGAATTAAAGTTATTTATTTTTGATAGGTTTAAGTGTGTCTCATAAATCCACTAACAAGATGCACTTACTAACAGAAGCAGCAGACTAGAGCCTGCATGCCTGTATCCTTTGCATGCCGGGATTGGCTTGTCTTATACTCAGCAGGGGCTTGGAAAAGAGGAGGCAGGAGAGCCCTGGGTGGACTGGCACCTTGATGCATGGCTTTAGTGAACAAAACCCACTATATCACAGCTCCTGCGCAGTCCTGCTCCCAGCACAACGCGAGAGCTTCTGCGCAGCGTTGCATGGGCCTTTGAATTCCATTCTGCCTGGTGCCAAGGGTAACTGGTGGAACCTTTTCCAACCCCAGTGCCTACGCTGCTATCTATCTCTTTAGACCTCTTTGTAGATTGATGTTCAGGTTTGTGTTAGCAGGATGGAGTCCCCAAGCCAGGAGTGTGTGTGCTGTTGGGAAGGGGTGTTAGGGAAGAGGGGCTGGTTGTCACTGGGAGAGGTGGGCTTTCAGTCCTGAAGACATGCTTGCTTTGCTTTCAAAGGGTGCTTTTCATAAGGCTAAGGGAAAGACATGGCTTTAAAATTTCTCTGACTGCATTATGGGCTACTTTAATCGATAGGATCCGGCTGCTGAGGCCTGGGGGATCCTCATCCAACTTTTCACTTTGGGCAAAAAAGAAAGGACCAGCGTTGCATTCCACTGTTTTACTGCTTAAAGCATATTTATTTTGTATTTATTTGAACAGAGTTATGTCAGACTATTTTTATAGACTTGTTTAAATATTGTTACTGTGCTCGTAGGTCTGGTTTAGGAAGTTCTCTTTGTTCTCTCACATCACACAGCTGAGTCGTGGGCAGGGATGCTAAAGCACCTTCCTCTTGGGGCTTGAGCTGCCTTTCCCACGTCTGGGGTTGTTGCTGGAGGACCTCAGCCCAGAGAAATTCTGTAGCAAGAAGCCATAGGAGAGAAGGGAGTAATTGGGAAGCAGAACCTTGGGAGGAGGGAGAAGGGTGCACTGTGAGGCTTGCCTTACGTTGGAATTGCCTCCGTGCATGGCTGAGAGGCTGGTGGGTGGATGGCTGAAGTTGGGAAGTAGAAGGTCTGTGTATGTTAGATGTCACAACGGATAATTGAGAGCAATCCTGGGGAAATCTTAGGGGAAAGGGGGAGGGAAGAAATCTCAGGGACTAAACCCACAAGTTTCCAGAGAGATGGCAGGAAACTTGTGCTTGGGCACGAGCTGCTTTGAGGCTGGATCAGCGGAGCCTGCTGCTGGGGCAGTGCTCTTCCTAGGCAAGTGGGCACTGTGGAAACCAGACAAGGATGCACTGGCACTTAGCAGCTGCTTTTATGCTGACAGCTTTGGTGGTTCATGGAGAGTCTCCCAGGTAAGGCTCAGCCATGGCTATCCAGTGCTGGCAGCAGTTAGGCACATGGAAATCTAAATCAGTCTGGATTAGTGATGTGATTTTTTTCCACCCCCCCCCTCTTCTTGAGACCTGTCATAAATTCTGCAGTGGCTCCTTCCTACCAGTGTGGCCTAATGGGAATATGAATATCAGAATGCAAAAATCAATGCAAAATGACAACCATCTTTGTAGCTGTAACCACAAATTGTTATAATACAAATCTAACTTGGATTCTTCATGTAGGGAACAGTCTGCTAATAAAGGTCTGTCAAAGAGATACCACGTGTCTGCGTCTCTTCATTAACGTGGTTTGTTGGTGCTGTTTGTGGCCAGACTCTTCCTGGGATGGTTCCCACCAAGGATGCTGCCCCTGGGAAGGATTCTCCCTATGGGGACCTGGGAGAACAGAATTCTTCTTAAAGGCAAAACCAGCAAACCTGAGCTCAAGGCAGTGATGTGTTGGGGATGTGCAGATGCTGTTAACCCGTCTCTGAGTGTTGCTGGACTTTGCTCATCTGTTCAGTAGCCATAACTGTTCAAAGACCCAGAAGAGCCCTGGAAGGAACCTGGCTCATAGGGCTTTTGAAGGAAAGGCTTTGTGCAGTTACTCCTTAAATCAAACCCCAACCAGGAGCTATCCTTGCAGCTCAGTCAGGACCCAGAGCTGGTAGCACAAGTGGCCTCTGATCAAGTTAACAAAACCTGCTGCAGGGGCCAGGCTGGCTTAGTTTGGTTCCTGTAATTCAAGGCTTTTATTCAGCTGTAAATCTACTCCTAAAGTCTGAGGCTTGGTAATACGAGCCTCTGCTTTCCATCCGTGTCAGCTCATATGCTTATCGAGCACTCGGCAGCCCTCAAGACTGGCAGCATCCCCTCTCCTACCCTTCTAGTGCCTCGTCCCTTGAGGTGGGGAGTTGTGTTTCATGTCCCAGACTGATAAAGCTGTGTCTGAAGCAAGGGCTGGCCGGGTACCTGTGCCCTGAGACTGAGGGAATTGGCTGTATTTGACATTGTAAAACTCATTTGTGCCACAGGCATCAAGCCAAAGCCTCATTGCTGGAGCACTGCGCAGGGCCAGGCACCCTGCTGCTGCACAGGGAGGAGCAGGGCTCTTCACCATACCCCCTCCAGCTTTTCTCCTTTCCTTCCTTTTTAAGGAAAAGGGATATTTCCAGTGCTTAATTACGAGGTTAGAGCCGACACTGAATTGCTCTCCACATGCACAACAGCAGCCTCTTTATCAACCCCCTTCACAAGCACAGTGACGGTGCTTATGTCCCTGTGGGGCTGTGACAGGGGATGAGTGAGGTGCCCAATGAGTGTGGGGTATATTGGGGGCACAGAGAGCAGTGTGGGTGTTGGCACTTGAACCCTCTCACCTCTAGGCTGCTGAGATTACTGGGAAATGGGGAAACGGGACCTTTTCCTCTGGGAAATGAAAATCCTGCCTCCATTGGGTTATCACCCCCTCCCTCCCTCATTTGGCAGTGTTGTCATGCTGTATCACAGACCTTGCCATGGATAAACATTACTGGGGAGCAATTCCCTGATCCAAAGGCTTCGGGCAGGAATATTCATTATATTATTCGTTATATGGATAATCATTATTCAGGAATAATCATTCTAGGATTCTATTATCTCTGTCCCTGCTGGGCTCCTTCTGGCAGCCAAACCGCTGTTGAGAGAATTCCTCTTCCCCTCAGCCTACAGTTGAAGTTTGGAGCCTTCCATACATTCCAGTTATATTCCAGCTACCGATTGCTTGGCGCATTTAAAGCAGTTAATGATTGCCCTCTTCTGGTTCGCCTCCATCGCTGCTTCACTGCACTGCTGCTTTTCCAGAGAGCTTAGTACGAAGCGGAGGGACTGAGTGCAGAAAACACTTCCACGTGTCCCGTCCCCCGTTGCTCAAGGCTGACTTTGCCCAGTGACACAGGAGGTGAGGTGAGTGTTTGATTTCCTCCTGCAAGCCCTGATTCCGATCCAGAATCCCGCAACAAAGCACATTGAGTTTGAAGAAAACATTTATTGCCCAATGTGGGATCGGTTCCCTGTGCCCAGCAGCACTCGGGTACCAGGAGGAGGTGATGCAGTGGCTGCAGATGTGGGCTCCATCCAGGGGTTGTTTCCTTTCTCAACCTCCTCCATTTGACACAGCTCCTTCCAGAACAGCAATAACAGGATAAGTGATGGGCAGTGCACCAGCAGGAGGGAATTTAGTGAAGAAAGAAGCATTTCCTTTTCATCTGATTATGCATCTAAGAGGACCCAGAGAAGCCATGGGCTGCCCCAGTCATGCACACACTTGCCCGGCTGCTGATGGTGCCATTCTGGGGCAAAGCTGTGCTATGGGGGAGCTCAGTGTGCTCTGAAGGAAATTGGGGTTCAGACCTCTTAGGAAGTCAATATAAAGCTCATGCTCCCCCAGCACTTGGGATTAGTGTGGTTGAAGTTCTCCTGATGCCTCAGACCAATGCAGCGGTATGTTAGCTCTGATGCTCTGTTCGCATCCATCTCCTTCACCCTGACGATAAAGGTCCCCAAATCTCTGTATTTAACTGGTTTTATTTCACTCCTCAGATGCCTTTTGGCCAGGCACAAACCCCTTCTCTGCTGACTCCAATTGCACCAGAGCTTTAAGGACAAACACTTTGAGCTTATTCCCCCTTTCCCTCAGCTTCATTCACTTGTCCAGATTTAAATGTGATCCAGAAGCTTCTGCAACCTCCTGCTCAGCAGCTGCCTCCTGTTAACCTGAGGGAGCTGGGTCCTGCTCCCAGGTGCTGCCCATTGCCTATAATGGAGAGACCTGCCCTACTGTGAGCATCTCATCTCTGCCTCTGCCCCTAGACCCGTAGGGACAGTGCTAAAAGCAGGTTCTTGAGGTTGGGGGTAAGGGGGGTTTGTTGGGTCCAGCCTGGCTGCTTCAAGTGGGGTTTGGGCACCTCTGGAAGCTTAGAGTCTCTTGATGGAGATGAGGAGATGGAGAACAGGAAAAGGTAGGATGTTTTTCACCTTCACTTTGTAAGAGGGAGCTTGCTCAGGGACTGGTCATTTGTAGGATAAAATGCCCTAAATCAGGCTGCAAAGGTCCAGTTAATGTTAAATGTTTATGTCTAATGTTAACTAATGTCCGTTAAAGTCTATTAATGTTAAGCAGTTCATGTTCTGATGGAAAAAATGAAGGAAAAGGTCTGTTTTTATGGGATTGGGTGGTGTTGCCTCTGCTGTCATGCGGTTGGAAGCTCAGGGCTGGACCCCAAGCCCAAAAGGAGCCTCTGTGCTGGGGTGGGAGGAGAACTGGCTTGTGCAGTCTTCCTGAACCCCATTAGCATCCAGCCAGGCTGGGAACCTGCTCATCACACCCTGGGGTGCAGGAAAAGCAAACCCCAACCTGGAAACAGCCTGAGGTTTGGGTGATGGTGCCTTTGTCTGAAGTGGGACCACGCAGGGCACCAGCCCCTCCTGCCCCATGGTTGCAGCCTCTGGGGGGGGGGCTTTGCTGTGGGGGGCAAAATCAGGAATTTCAGGGCCCAAATCCCATCCTTTAGCTATTTTTCCCATTGCAGGGGCAGGTTTCCCACTGGAGATGCTCAAGTGCTGGGATTTGCTTTGGGGATTCACGTATTGCTGCATGTGTGTGTATTTTAACCCACCATGACTGCTGAAGCAGCACTGTGTGTATTTAGCCCCCTAAATCGTTTCCACCACCTTAAAAACCTCTCTCCAAGAGCCTGGTTTGGTGGCTGGAGCTATAACTGGGGATCTTGGCTCTGCCCATCCATGAGCAGCCACATACCCTTCTCCATGGCGCATACACGATCCCCTCTTCACTCAGCCCCAGGCACTTGGCCTGGGTCTCGAACTCTTCCCGTTGTGCTCTGCTCATGCTCAGGTTTCTGGCTGGAAAAGGAGAAGCATTTACCAGGCATTAAACATGGACCAGAGGCCTCGGTGTGTCCCTCTGCACCGCATCCCTGCCCCATGCTCCCACTGCTGCTTGCTGTGCCTATGGTCCCTATTGGGGTCTCTCAAGGTGAATATACTGGAACAAAACCAATTGGGGCATCACTTTTTGACCCTCTCCCCAGTCAGCTCTGGTCCTGCCTGCTTAAAGGGGTTGCAGAGTAGTCTGATGCTCCCACTGGGAAGGACTGAGTATGGAGGCAGCTCTCTATACGTGCCTTCAGGCTCCTGAGCAACAGCTTTGCAGCTTGGAAGGACAAGGGGAACCCTTATCAAGCCCTGCAATGCTGCTTTATGGGGTTGTGATCAGATCAGCTTTGCCTGCCCTGCAAAGCCACGTGCTCTGCCCTGGGAGGCAAGTACTGGAAAAGCAAGGTTGGCTTGAAAACACTGAGATTTGACAACGTTATCGATGCTGAATTGTGTTTGCTTCCTGGCCTTGGGATGTTCAAGGTGCCAGTGGGTTTTGTCTTTAACTTGCTCTTTTTGCTCTGCCAAGAGATTTGGGGTTTAAAGGGGTTTGTCAATGTTCCTGTGACCCCTGGAGTGGCGGCCTCAGGGAAATCACTGTTGGCAAAGCCAAGCTGCTGCATGGTTTTGGCTCATAATCCTATGTGTGTGTTTTGGTGTCCCACAGTAGCCCTAAGTTAGGATGGAGTTTGCGTACCATAGAGATACAGCCCCGAGTACGTCCTTTCCCTCTGCAGCTGGTACTGGATGAGTAAAACATCTTCAGAGCTGAGGTTCATCAGTGTCCCCACAGTCTGCTGGGTCTTGGCTTGGAGAGAGCAGCATCAGGTTGGGAACAGCCACAGCATCCAGGTGCTCAGTGCTGGAGCAGCGATACAACCCAGCCCAAGGGTGGGCAATGCCAAGACCCAGCCCTTAGCAATGGGTGAGGACAAATGTCCTGTATAGGGCGAGTTGTTCTTGGTTTGAATTGTGCTTCTTCAATGTGGGTCTGGGACGTGTAGGAGCCGAAGTCATCAGCTCCTGTCCCATCATTGCAATGTGCTGATGGCATCACCCATTGGTGCTCGGGGTATGTGGTGGTAGGGTTGGTGCAAGCTGTATCTCAGGGGTCTTGCAATTCCCACCCCAAATGGCTCACCCCATGTCCCCGGTGAAGAGGGAACAGTTCAGAACGTGAGGCTACATTGATTCACTAAACCTGCCTTAAATGTTCCCCCCTTTCCCTGAGGGATTGTGGGGTAACTTTATAAATGAGGCATTCTTCTCCTAAGGGGTTCTGGCATGGCATTGCTTCCTAGGGTTTAGTGTGGCTTGATGGCAGGGTGTCCCTGGCCTGGGGGGGGGGTGTGCATTTGGAATCCACTGAGGATTCAAACAGACAAATCAACCCAGGAACGCAATGAGTTGGATGATGTAAAACATGGTCGTGGGCCCTTTGGGTGTTTCATCCCATCCAAGCCCCAGGCTGGGTGATAACCCCACCGGTGCTGCTCACCCTCCTTCACCAGCGTGGTGTTACCGGCAGTGATTTCCATGTAGGTGGAGTTGTTGGTGAGACATTGGTCCCCCCTGGGGAGAGAAACAGGAGGAGGGTGATGCAGGAACGGGGAGCAGAGACCCCTTCCTTATATCTAAATAAAGAGGGTGAGGAGGAATGGGGATGGAGGAGCAGCCATGGAGCCGTGCTCGTATCCCGTGCTGAAATCACTGCAGCGCATAAGAGGAGATGGGCAGGGACCGGGGGCTGCCTCTTACACGGCCACGCTCTGGGTGATGGGCAGCTCCTGCTCGCCGGCACCAGGCTCCACGTGGAGGTATCCGTGGTCGATGAGCAGCATCTCCAGGAGGTGCCGGGGGAACTGGGCAGCCCCGGCCACGTACAGCCAGGTCCCCAGGAGCTGCAGGGACACAGGGGCAGCGCAGTGAGGGCTTTGGGTGTGCAGGGGGGAGGTTTGCACCCTCCCGTGGTACATTGCTGTTTGCGACCTCTGATCGTTGCCCTTCTCGCCCTGCATTGGCAGCAAAGCGAAACCTGCGCAAACAAATGGAAATGGGGGGAGAACGGCTGGATTGGATCGGGAATGGTGCTGGATGCGGGCGTCCCAGTGCCCTGTGCTGCCATAGGGGACTCGCACCAAAACCAAACCCCCCCCAGCTTTCCTTGCTTTGAGGTCCCCGCTGGGATTTGCTGCGGGAGCACTGCGTGACTCAAGGTGTTCGGGAAGCAAACGCTTCCCGTTGCTGCAGATGTGCTGCTGAGGCTCCCCTCCAGGTGAGAGGGGGGGAAAGGGAGGTTTCCCCTTCCCCACGGCGCAGGGAGGCTGTGCGGAGCACACTGCATCCCCCGGGATCGGCTCCCTCCTACCTTGGCTGCGGTGCTGTTGTCGGGGCGCAGGGCTCCGCAGGGGACGGCGGCTGCAGGCAGCAGCGAGGTGAGGATGAGGATGAGGATGGGAGCCATGGCTGTGGCTGCCTGAGAGCGAGGAGCCCAGGACACACGGACGGGTTCGCTTGTCTGCTTGTGGGGTGGGACGGGACGGGAGGGCTCAGCTCTGCGCTGGTGATGCAATGGGCACCTAACGGGGACTTTGCTTTAACCTGGCATAGGGGAGACTGAGATGAGCTCTGAGGCAGAAGCTCTTCCCTGTGAGGGTGCTGAGGCGCTGGCACAGGGTGCCCAGAGAAGCTGTGGCTGCCCCATCCCTGGCAGTGTTCAAGGCCAGGTTGGACACAGGGGCTTGGAGCAAGCTGCTCTAGTGGAAGGTGTCCCTGTCCCTATCCCGCTGCTGCCCCCATGCAGGGCAGGACCTGCTCTCCCGCCTTCGTTTCTATTTGCCTCTCCCCTTCCGATGTGGAGCCTCCCCAGGACCCTCACTCTGGCCCTTGGTGATGTTTTCCCCCAATCTCTCCCCCTGTTTCTGCTCAGAGACACCCAGGGACAGCACAATGTCACCCCACGTCACACCACCCCCTGTGCAAGCCCCTGGTGCAGGCAGAGCCCCATAGGGTTTAGCTTGAGAATTCAGGGCAGGATGTTGAGGTGCTAAAAGCACCTTGATTGAGTCCTCGTGGAGGAGACCCAAGGGGTTTGGATGGTGGGTGCTCACGTCCTGGTGCCCCATAGTAGAGGGGAACCAGCGGATGGGGTGGCCAAGGGGATCCTGTGCTGCCATGGGGCTGGTGAAGGGATGAGCATCTCTGTGCCCACTGCCGTGATCAGGGTTTTGTATGGGTCTTGTCACCCCTCTCAGTAGGGTTGGAGGTGCAGCATCCTGGGCAGGGCAGGCAGGAGGGGTCCCATGGTCCCAGTGAGGATGCAGCAGGCTGTTGTAACACGGGTTTATTGCGGGTCCAGGAGAGAGCAGGGAACCGGGTGCTTCGTCCAGGAGGAAAACCAAAGCCTCAACAGAAAGTCCTGAGGCTGAGCTGAGCTGGGGTGTCCCCATGGAGGGACCGCAGGAGGATGAGGATGGAGTGGCCCATGGGGGTTATTTCAGCTGTGGCTCTGCATCTCCTTCACCCTTCTTCTCCCAGGGCAGGGGACAGGCATCCTGTGGGATAGGAGAGAGCATCCATCCTTGCCCCTTGCCCCAAAGAATCAGGAATGACCAAGGTGGATGCTCGGGGAGGAGAAGGGAGTTAGTGCCGTGGTGGGGAACTGCTCACACATCCCGCCCTGTATCCCCATCCCATCCGATGGCAGGGGCTGGTCCAGGGCTGGTGCTCACCCACCCCGGGGATGGGTTTGTACCTTCTCGGAGGTGATGAAGATGTCCTCCTCCGTGAAGCCCAGGCAGTGCAGGTGGGATCTGAACTCCTCCAACTGCTCCTTGCTCACGTTGGACGTCCGTGCTGTGGAGAAATGGGGGCAAAAAGGGGAAGGGGGAGAAGTAGGGGAGGTTTGGGGGTGCTTTGCTCCTTGGTGGTACCTGTAGTGCAGATGGGGAGCTCTCTGCATGCCCACCCCTCTACATATCAGAGGAGAAGGGGCTTTTTGCTCTGCTTGCGAGGGCTGGGAATACCCACATCCATCAATGAACCCCTTTGTGAGGGTTGGGGATGCCTATCCCCATTGATGTGACCCTGGCCAGGGATGTGCCCCAGGGATCCCCGGGCAGCATCCGCTCACCTGAGAGGCTCAGACTTGGGAAGTCATCATTGAGATGGTTGAGGATCAGCAGGTCCTTGTCGCTTTGGATCAGTTTGGCCATGGCAAACACTTGGCCATCGACTGGAAGGCACAGAGAGAGCGGGGTCACCCACTGGTGAGCATCACCCCGTGCTGGGGCTGCTCACCCCCCTTATCCTCATCCCAATGGGGACCAGTCTGGTCCCCAAGCACTGCTGTACCCATTGCATGGGGTGGAAGAAACCTCCCACCCCCTCCAGACATGGTTTTAGGTGGAAAGGGGCCTGATGCCAAACGCTGTGGGGCAGAAGCGGCAGGGGGCAAGGTGTGGCTGTGTCACGGTCCCCATGTCCCATCCCATCCATCGCAGCCGGGGCTTTACCATGCGCCAAGGTGGAGTTGTCCCGAAAGACCAGGACCTTGCTGCTGTTCCTCTCCAGGCACGTCTCATTCCTGCAGGGCAGAGGGCTCAGATGGGACAAATTCTTCCCCCCAAACTGCCCTCCCCAAGGGGTTCAGAACCCAAACACTTGGGCACGGCTGCTCCGCAGCCCCGTGTCTGTGAGGGAGGGATGGCCCCAGCCACCCTTGGGGATGGGGGATGCTGCTGAGGGGTGAATCCCATCCTCACAGCCGCATGATTTCAGTGACGTCGAGCTCGTCCTCGTGGCTGCTGGGCGAGAAGGAGAAAGCTGCGTGCTTCAGGGCTCTCAGCTCCTCCAGGTGAGGCGGGTACCTGGAGGCACCGGCGATGTAGATCCAGTGTCCCAGGAGCTGCCGAGAGGAGCAGAATGGGGCTGCTTTGGGGTGGTGGGGGGGTCCTTGCTGGGCTCATCCTTGAGCACCGTGGGAGTAAAAGCATCCATTGAGCCCTGCTGTGCCCCAGTGTGTGACTGCCCCAGGTAGGATCCAGCCTGGGTAAGGGGCCCTTGGGTTTGTGCCCTCCTTGCTCAAGTGATGCTCCAGCTCTCTGGGTGGCCAGCGTGTGTCTGCAGTGCTGTCCCCTCTGCTCTGTGCCTGGTGCTCGTTGCTTTCCTCCCATTAAACATCCCCAAGGGACTAAATCCTGCTCATGCAGTGAAGGGTTTTGTGGATGGAGACTCTCTGACACTCGAAGGGCTCACAATAGAATGGCAGCACACGAGGGATGGTGCTGCCCGGCCTGATTTGAGTGGGGACATGGAAGCAGGAGCCACCCACAGGTGCCCTGCTCATGGGGTTATGGGAGCAGAGCTGCAAGGCTTCACCTCTTCCCGTGCTCCCGGGCAGCAGGAGCTTGACTTCTTGTTAGGGAAATCAGCATTGAGCTGTCAATTGGGTCCGTAACCTCCCCCTGCACCCAGTGATGCTGACAGGAAAGGACCAGTGCTTACCCGAGGGATGGTGGCATTGTCGAAGGTGACCGGGATGAGTGGGGCACAAGTTGGGGCTGCGAGGGTGAGCGGCAGCCCCAGGAGGAAGATGAGGCCGGGCAGCATCGCTGGGCTGGATGAGAGGAGGCTCCTGCACTGAGCGGCTGCTGCCTGGCTCTGTCCCTTATATACAGCACCTGCAAACGGGGCCATCGCCAGCCCTGATGTGCTTGTTCAGCTGCGGGGCTGTTTGCTCAGCTATGAGGCAATAGCACGTGGAGGAAACCGAACCTGCAAAAGAGGGGAAAACCCAACCCCTGCTTGCACCAGTGCAGGCTTTGGGGCATGGAAACTGCAGTTTTGTGGGTGCCTCTTTGTCCAAACGGCCCCTGGATGTGGTTTTCCCCCACGGGGCACATAAACACCCATGGTGGGGCTGGAGGCGGCTGCTCTCCCATGGGGATGTCAGGGGTTTGGGTCTGCATCCATGTGGGTGCTGCTGGGGATGGGAGGAGACCTTGGCACGGGAAGGACCTGGAGCTGCTGGGATGAGCACAGAGGTCCCAAAGATGATGAGGGCTGGAGCAGCTCTGCTCTGGAGCCAGCCTGGAGAAGAGAAGGATCCTGAAGGGGAGACCTGAGAGCAGCTCCAGTGCCTGAAGGGACTGCAGGAAACCTGGAGAGGGGCTTGGGACAAGGGGTGCAGGGACAGGCCAAGGGGAATGGCTTTAACCTGCCAGAGGGGAGACTGAGATGAGCTCTGAGGCAGAAGCTCTTCCCTGGGAGGGTGCTGAGGCGCTGGCACAGGGTGCCCAGAGAAGCTGTGGCTGCCCCATCCCTGGCAGTGTTCAAGGCCAGGTTGGACACAGGGGCTTGGAGCAAGCTGCTCTAGTGGAAGGTGTCCCTGCCTGTGGCAGGGGTTGGAGCTGGAGGAGCTTTAAGGTCCCTTCCAACCCAAACCAGTCTCTGTTTTCTGATGCTAAGCTGCACTGTTTAAAATCAAAACACCCTCTGCCCCATCTCCTTCCTCTTCCCAGCAGTGCCAGTGTCCTGTGCTGCCAATGCCAGCCCACCAGCACGTTCATGGCACCCCTTAAGCTGTGAAAATTGGGAGCTGAGCTCCCTGTTGTGTGCTGGTAGCCTTGTGGTGCTTGTTGCTTGTCTCATCCTAGTGCTGCAATGATAAAGTGGCTTTTGGGCTGCGGATGCGGTTAACATACACAGCTGATAAATTACTTACCTTAGAGTAATTAATTATTGTAAGTAATTCAAGCAAGCTAAAATAACTGGTAGCAACAGGGTCTTGTTGAGCAAACCCTGTCTGGGGATGGGGCACAAGGCAGGGAACAACCCATGCTGTGGGTTTGGGCTTTTAGCAGCATGAAGACATTACACCACCTTTAAAGGCAGGATCTCCCTTCAAGGGGTTTGTGTTTGCTCCAACCCCGCTCACAATGGAGCGCAGTGATTTATGCACGGGCCGTGTTTGCTGTGTCCCTGCCCGCAGGAGCTGTGTGTGACCGGCTCACACGGGTCAGGCCAATGCTGACCTGGCCCCAGCACCCAGCACCCTACAGTGCCCGGGGGTGTCCCTCAGCCCCCCCCTCCCAGCTGCAGGAGCACTGCCGGGAAGGGGAGCAGTGTGGGATGAGCAAACAGAGCACGGCCGCTTCCCGCTGTCCCTGATGCAACCCAGGGCCAGCTCCCATAGTGTGTGGTGTGATGGGGTGTGAGGGGTCACCCAATGTCCCTCTACCCCAGCTTGAGCCCATAGGGGCTTTGCTGCTGTCCCCAATGTGTGTGGTGCTTGTGGTGGCAGGGATAAGGCTTTAGTCTGAGGCTGGGGCTCTGGAGCAAGGAGAAGATGGGTTTCAAATCAGCTTGGAGCAATGAGATGTGATTTGGGCTTCATGTGAAAAGCATCAGCTCGGCTTTCTCTTTCTTTCTCCTTTCTCCTCTTGCTCCCTGCTGCTGTCAGGATATAATTTGAGGTTTATGGTTATCTGAGTAATTTTGCAGAAGAGGGAA